AGAATCGAGCAAGACGGCAACGCTTCGTTCATCTCCCCAGTCTTTCCGTTCCGATCATCCTGGGCAGAGATTTTCTCGCCAAAACAGGGATCGTGATCGACGTGAGTAGCGGTGGCTACCGAGAGGGCACTTTCGCTCCTCTGAAACCTTTCTGCGAACCCCCAACCCCAGAAAAACCGCTGGTTAATGGGGCAGGCAGCAGCAGCCGAAACGAGGCAACAGCCTCCCAAGGTGAACCCTCTCCGACGCGGTTGCAAGCGAGCGCCGTAGCATCGGAGATAACGCACCCCCTGCTGACTGAGTCATGCAGCGTGTCAGGGCAAGAAAAAGCCCGTCTGTCGGCATTGTTACGACATTATGACAAGATGTTCACAGATCGACCCGGGTGCACCAATGTAGTGCGACACCGGATCGACACGGGCGATGCGCTCCCTCGGAGGCAAAACGCACGACCCGTTAGTTTGGCTAAACGAAAAGCCATTGACGTTGCACTGGATGAAATGATCGACACCGGAGTTGTCCGGCGGTCAAACAGTCCCTGGGGATTCCCCGTCGTGTTGGTCCCAAAGAAGGACGGCACTTCACGTCTGTGCATCGACTATCGCCGTCTAAATGACGTCACGCGGAAAGACGCATATCCGCTACCAAGCATTGACTCGATCCTGTCCAACCTCGGCAGCGCACGGTATTTTACAACCTTAGACGCCAGCCGAGGCTACCTCCAAGTTCAAATGGAGAGGGGTGACGAGGCGAAAACGGCCTTTGTTTGTCACCGCGGGCTTTTCGAATTCACAAGAATGCCCTTCGGTCTGTGCGGAGCGCCCATGACGTTCCAGCGGTTGATCGACCGCATACTGGGAGAAGCCAAATGGAAACATGCAATGGCCTATCTCGACGACATTGTCGTCTACTCGAACACCTTCGAAGATCATCTCAGAGACCTGAAGGATGTGTTCGACCGGCTAAAAGCCGCGGGAATCACGCTGAACCCGGAAAAGGCTCAAATAGCCGAAACCCGAATCAACTTGCTCGGTTTCACACTCGATTGCGGACGCATTGCGCCAAACGCCGAGAAGCTAGAAGCTATCCGGGAGTTCCCCGCACCAACGGACGTAAGCTCACTCCGTCGCTATTTGGGAATGGTGAATTTTTATCGCCAATTCATCCCGAACTGCGCCTCCCTCCAAGCGCCACTAACGCGGCTACTCAGAAAAGCCGTGAGCTGGAGTTGGGGTCCCGAGCAGGAGGCAGCCTTCCGCTGCACTTCGAAAGCACTGGCGGACACCGCGGAACTAAAGCTTCCCGACTTGAACAAGCCTTTCGTGATCCAAACGGACGCGAGCAAACTGGGCTTGGGAGCGGTCCTGCTCCAAGAACACGAAGGTGTGCTTCGTCCCGTGGCTTTCGCTAGCCGCTCGCTCGTGCCGGCAGAGGTGAACTACAGCACCTGCGAACAAGAGTGCTTGGCTATTGTATTTGCCTTAAAGCGCTTCGACATTTATGTCGACGGGACCACATTCACGATCGAAACAGATCACCAGAGCCTAATATGGCTGTCAAGACTTCGCGAACCCGCAGGACGGTTGGCGAGATGGGCTTTGCTACTGCAAAAATACGACTATGTCGTGCGGTACCGGAAAGGCAGCACAAACGTTGTGGCCGACGCACTGTCGCGAGCCCCCGTAGACTGCGCAAATCTTTCCGCGGGGAGCCGGGCCGAGCCAACGGCACATGCAATGCCCGGCGAAGCCGAAATTCAGTCCCAAAAGGAGGCAGCACCACTGACCTCCTCGGACGAGAGCGTGAACCACGTAGACGCAGTGAGCGCAGTGGGGATCGTGTTCAGCAAAGAAGAGCTACTGAAAGCTCAGCAGAATGATCCGTTTTGTCGAAAGGTGATCGACGGGCTCTCGAGTGAGTTGGACTCCGTGGAGTCGGGCGGTGCGTCCGCCGGGCGTACGACTGCTGGTATTGCAGTTAACGCCGAGTGTCGGGATGTATCTGGTACTGGTACTGACACGCTGGATCAATTTCTGCTGAACGCCGATGGGCTCCTGCTGAAGTATATCCCATCTGAGAAGGACACAGATAATGTGTTCAAGGTGGTAGTGCCAAAAAGTCTGAGGTGCGCAGTAATGCGTTACTATCACGACTCGCACTTGGCCGGACATGCGAGCGGCTCCAAGACTTACACAAAGTTATGTCACATCGCAACCTGGCCGGGCATGAAAAGGGACGTATTCCGCTACGCCCGCACGTGCCACACTTGCCAAAGCTTCAAACCAAGAGGCGGCAAACCTCCGGGCCTAATGCAGCCGACCCACAGCCAAGAACCATGGTCTTTGGCGGCTTGCGACGTGGTCGGCCCTTTGCCGAGGAGCCCCAAAGGACACCAATATTTGTTGGTTGTCACGGACCACTTCAGCAAATGGGTAGAACTTTTCCCACTACGAAAGCTGACAGCCCGAGCGATCATGGAGAAGCTTATGGAGGTATTCACCCGATGCGGGTTCCCGGAAGCTCTCCTAACAGATCGAGCAAGCTACTTCGTCGGGAAGGTATTTGTGGACGCTTGCAAAGCCCTGGGCATCAAGCACAAAACAACCACACCCTACCACCCGCAGGCGAACATCACGGAGCGATGTAACAGAAACATCAAACCCATGCTGGCAGCATTTGCCGAAAAGCACCGCGACTGGGACGCATACATTCCTGAAATTGGGTTTGCTCTCCGTTCCACTGTCAATCGTTCGACAGGCTTCACCCCCGCCTTCCTCACATTCGGAAGAGAGTTGGCGAATCCCATGGACCGTGTCCTCAGGGCGAACGCCGGGGCAAACGACGCGCAGTCGACACAGACTGAACACGCGCGCTCGCTACAAACTCGGATGACGGAAGCCTTCTCGGAGGCCCGTCACAATCTCGGGGTAGCGCGAGCTAAACAAAAGGCTCAGTACGATCGCTCTCGCCGAGATCTCCGCTACAAAGTAGGCGATCTCGTGCTCAGACGAAATCACGTTTTGAGCGATGCCAGCAAAGGCTTTTCTGCTTCGCTGGCACCAAAGTGGCTGGGCCCGTACGAAGTGCGAGAAATACTTTCACCGCTCGTGTACAAGCTGACTGACCAAGAGTCACGAAAAGTCGGAGGGCCAGTGCATATTTACGATCTCAAACCCTACCACAGAAGGGAAAACGAGGAGCAAAACCCAAAGCCACTCTTGCGCAAGAATGCACGCGAAACGCGAGACGACGCCAAAACCGAGGCGCCCCGCTACAATCTGCGAACTCGGAGAAACTAATATCCGGAGTTTCGCAAAGGCAGTCCCAATAAGTGGCGAAATGTCACACTAAGGGAAGTGCAAGGGCAAAGAATGCACCAGCTGCCTTCGCGAACGCGTCAGCCACCATTGTTGGCAAGCCGTGACCTAAATACAAGGCCACCTCAACGTTCGCTTCCGGATCATCCCGTACGGGGATTCCCCTACATACGGCATCTGAGGGAAAGGGTAGGCGTAACGCCCATTGGTCAGTTACTGCCGCCCAGGCTCACGTGTGTCACTACGTCATCGTAGGGGCACGGCGAGAGCAGTCGTCACAAGCGGTGAGACCGTGATGTCATTCTGCCGCAGTACGACTCCACAGTAACATCCACGAAGAGGATCTCCAGCCAGGACGGTGCTTCGGGCCGTTCGGGGGCTGCGTCAGCCTGTTTCCTGGCTCCGGAGTTTTCGACGGCGTTCTTGGTCCACGGGTGCTGGCGATTCTTCGAGCAGCCCCGCGACGCCAGCGGACCAGGGGACCGAACCAGCGACCCGCCGGCTACGCGCGCCACCGGGACCGACAGCTGCGCGGGGCCCTGCCCGCCCTTCGACTTCGGGACCCGCGCGGCGACGGACAACACTCTGTCCAGGGGCCGGCTGTTCCCGTCCAAAGGGCTCCACGAACCACCTCCACGACGGTGAGCGAACGCCGGGAACGTCGCGTCAGACCGTATTTGTGAACCCCGGCATGTGGGGGTAGGCACCGGACGCGGTCGTTTTTTTTATTGTTCTTTTTGTTTTTAAGAGCCGGTAGGACATTTTGTTTTATTCAAGTCCTACCTAAGCCTTAAGAAGGGGGGAGTGTGGGAACCATTGGGTTCCCTCTATCCCTATCTAGGCCTAGCTTCAAGCAGGCCGTGGGAGTCGTCGTCACCAATGGCGTCGGCCTCCCGGATACAAGGAACCACGAGGCCGAATTCCCCGAAGGGGCCGGTTCTCCCTTGCCCTTTTGGGTGAACGCGCCATCGGCACACCCTTGGGAGTGATTATGGACGCGTCCCGTTTTCGAGTGACCTTCTACCGGCCTCCCCGGGCGCGTCTATTTCCCGCAGGCTACATAAGCCGGCCACCCACCTGTGGCCGGGGCTCTTGGTGAGGGGGGGCTACGCTCGACGGAGCATTCATCGTTATTTTACTGTTCCCCCTTTTCCGTGATCCTGCCAGTTCAGGCAGCGCGGACCTTTCTCCTGGTGATCCTGTCAATTAAGGCAGCGCCAACCTCATTTCTCTTTTGTTCCGCCTACGGGCGTAAAGCGTGTGGCGTAAGCCTAATAAACACGTTTCTACGATATCCCTGTGTTTCGTGTGGTCTTCCGTCCATCGGAGCCTAACGGCAGGCAACGGACGGACCCGGCCGTAGCCGCCATAGCAGCGACCTACGGAGTGGGTGTTGCCTCACAGCGATCAGCAAGGTAAGTCGAAACCCGCTTTATTGCAACCGACGAGTTAAGTAGTGGGTATTTGCCTCACTGAGGACTTTGGGGTAAACTAGAATCCCACAACATTTTGTAGATAAAATTGACAGACCCCTGGATTAAATCGGGTAGCTCTGGGATTAAATTGAAAGGCGCTCAAATTAGGTTGAATGAAACATGGATTAAATTGTCCAGCATACGGATTAAAAGGAGTGCGAAAACCTGTAGTTCCTTAATTGCGTTTCCTCCTGCGTCCCACTTACAGGGCTCAAGCCAGGAAGGATCCGAGGCCTGTGGCGATGCCGAGAGTTGATAACGTCGCGTGCAGTTGCCAGCTGTACGGCGTCCATAAGAACGGCACGAAGGTCGGGGCGCTGCTGTACACCTTCAACGACTCTCTGCCGGATGACGAACGAGACGACTGCGCCGGCTGGTGCCGCTTCGTGGTGAGCGATGACCTGATCCCCCTGAGGTAGAAGTGTGGCCAGGGCTGTCAACTGCAGGGACATGCTCCCTAGCTTTAGGGATTTTAGCTAATCCTCTAGGGATATTCGACGAATTCTACGCTCCGTTTCACATTTTTGTCCGACCGCATGCAGACGACGCTACGATCTTAATGGAGCTAACCAAGCAGCCCCGAAGGTGCGTCGTCACGGCACTCATTGCCTTCGTGGGTTTGCTATCATCCCGCATAAAAAAAATCACGCATAGAAACAAAAAATAGGCGTAGGACCACGACGCATTCGCCATGCGTGTCTGGCTTAGTCTGCGATAGAAAACCCAGAAAGAGTAACGTGACGATGTACTTTTGGTGCTGCTTGATTAGTTCGAACCGGGAATAGCGTCGGCGGCGGTCGGACTTGCAGTAAAAAAAGTATCGAAGCTTCCTATACTCCGTTTCAAACATCGCGTGCAACGCTGGGAAAGCTACTGAAGTAGTGCGAATGAAAAAACACACAAAATTGTGTTACTCCGCGAGATTTCGTGGACGAGCGGTACAAGGCGCTGCTCCGGCGATGCCGGCGATGCCGACATCTCGGTGGCGGTGGTTCGAATCCACTTAGGGCGCAAAGGTTTTTTTTTTTTTTTTTTTTTCCTCGACCGATTTTTTGTGCAAGATTGTGCGTATTGCGGAAGTACATATTTCAATTCCTCTTTTCTTGTTGATTTTTATTTACAAGAAGGTAGATTAGGGGCTGGTGTTCCGCTCGAACTTGCGCCGGCCTCGTCAAAACGGAAGAACGGTCGAGATCCAGGGCGTCTCTATTTAAAGCCGTTTATTTATACGGTAGCGTGAAAATCAGAGAGTACCTTGAGAGTGTGGTGGACGGTCCTTTATATAACGAATATTGTGATTAGGGGACCGCACTGCCATTGTTCAGACGGCTTGGCATTCCCTCACGTGATGTGACTTCATGGAAGTTTCCTTCAGAGTCAGAATACTCGCCGGTGTATGAAAGAAGTCATCCAGACGGCAGTATCTCGGTGCTCTGGTGCCGGCGCCCACATGAACCGGGAGTGATTCACAATAGACGCGTACACAACACACGGCACTCGAGATCAGGATCGAGTGTTGTTTCCTCTTCGAGGAAAGCAGGGGCCTCGGAATACAGGCACGGGCATGTGCGTCGTTTACTTAGCCGACCAAGGTTAAGGTGCCTCAGGCAGACGGAGCCGACCATGGTTACGGTCCCGCAGGCAGAAGAACCCAGACACTTCGGAATGCTACCACAAATCACGGGCACCTGTAAGGTCCCGCAAGCAGACGGAGCCGTAGGCACGATTCATCACCGACACAGTTCCTTCTTGAGGCTTGTTTCACTTTGAAGCCATAAGGCCGATTTCAACACCAGAAATAACAGGTGGCAGTTCACAACTCTGTCCGCGTGCTCGGAACTTTCACGTTACGAGGTCTTCGCTTCGGGGACGCCACCTTGCCAGACACTCCGGTGTCGTTACTGACCGTCTCCAGGACCTCACGGACCGACGTCTCCGGGAAACACGTTCTTGAACTCGCGTACACGTTGGCGATCACCTGCTTGCACTTTTGCGAGATCTTCACACAACGAATCTTCGAAAATATCCGAGCAGGAAAAGAAAGCTTCCCGCGTAAGACGCCATCTTCACGAAACCGGCGAGGCAGGGGCAGCCGCACAACCCGAAAACCCGAAGCGAGTGCGAGTGCCGCACGAACGAAAACGGAAAATAATTTGGAGTAGTTTACATTATATTTTCCTTTTTATTGAAAAAGAATTGGTGTTCCCTCGAAATCATAACGCCACTATTAGTTACTAGCTCCAAAGATGTACACTTTTCGACTTTTTTTTTTTTTTCAGGGGCCGCACTATTTTGTGGAGCGAACGTAGTCGCGGTCGGCTGTGCGAACCGGCGCGCTAGCTTTGACTACGTTGCACGCTATGTTTGAAACGGAGTATAGCGACCTCCTTGTAGGTACTTTAGGGACTTTTTATTCCAAAGCGAAAATCTGCTCACCATGAACTCTCAGTTATCAGAAGGATCGAATTCGAAAATGTATATGCAGTAGGTTATACTGTATATATGGCAGATATCAACATCAACCATGTTGACAAATGACTGACTTTTTTAAAATGTAATAAATAAATGAATATAAATGTATAAAAAATAAAAGAATGCCAGGGGCTAAGGGTATTTAGGGACATCTCGATTTCGGAATTGAGACGACGGTCTCCGCCATTGACAACAGCATTGATTATAAGACTCATTGTGATGACGGTTGATGCCTCCTCACTATTCACTCCCGCACTCCGCCCATGAGAACGAGTAATCATATCTTATTTAGTACTTGTGTCATCGGCACGACGCGCTTTCACGTGCAGACCGACAGGGTGCTTTATGAAACATCTGAAATCTGGAAACAATCTGACTATTCCCGTATTGAAGGTTTATAACATACTCCGGCTGGTTTTGTGTAAACACGCTCTGCCGGAGCGTAGTTGTGTAAGCACTGCTTCGACGCCTACAACGCGTCTTCGAGTGTTGCGTCTAGCGTGCCATTATTAACGTTACTCGATTACCTCAGTTGTGAAACTTCCGCAAAAGCGGGTTCCCCCCCTCACTCACTCCAGTCCGCCTCCCGTCATTTCAAGCGCCATCTAGACTTTGGTTTACAAACTGTGTGGTCCATACCGTACGGTGCAACGCCATCTCGACGCTGCGCTTCGAAACGCACGTATCCCATAGAATATGCTGCAGTTACCAAAGCAGCCGTCCGGCGCGTCGAAGGACGGGAGTCGAGTCGTGGTAAGTGTCGGGGGGTACTGCTCCTCCATGCGGCGTCTATGAGCAGTTCCGTAACTGAGCTAATCTAATAACCTTGCCATTATCCATCCCATACATCAAATGGGGTCCTAAAGGGCCTTGAAATGACGTCACAAAAGCCGCCGTGTCATGCTGTCGGGTGTCACGATCCGGGCTGTCGGGGTCAACGTTGGTCGGGGCTAGACCCACTCTATATGGCAGCGTAGCTGCCAGAGTAGCGACACGACGCAAAATTATCTAGATGCACGACGTCAGAAGCGCTGATAGTGATCTCCATTTTGGGCCTGGGAGGTTGCCATGGTAACCGTGCTTCTAGCGACGCCGGGCGGCAACCTTTGTAGTCTAGTTGATATCTCCATTCGTTCATTGAAAAGTGCTATAGGACGCTTGGCATCGCGGTACGGCAAGACTCTCTGGAGGAACGGTGAAAGTGAGACGATTTCCACCCAGAGACTGTCAGGCGACGAGAGCTGGTATGGTATCGTACGTGCACGGACAAGGCGAGTGGTTTTCGGCGCCGCCGGGATGGTGGCCGCTTCGTGGGACGAACGTGCCGTCCTAGTACTTTCGGACTTCGCTCCGATGGAACAAAATCCGATTACGCCGGCCGTGACTGGACGATTGGCTCGGGACATGACTGCTGCTCGACTGCCCCATAGTGAGCGAGTATATGTTTATCATCATACTTCTTCAAGACCCGATAATCCCTTCAAGATGAGATTTTCCCACCGACTGGTGAGGAGCGACGTCGAGGTGGTTCAACCGTTCAACCAAGGAGGACGGCATGGTGGTCTCTAGGAAATTGTTGACGCCATCAAAAGAGACGGATGCTGGATGTGAGTTGTTCTTGCCGACAGGCCAAATGGTCGCTCGGAAGTTTACCGGCATTCAAAAAGTCAATATTTTTATCTGGTGTAGCACACATATCCGTGTTAAAGGGGCCACGAAATTATTTTTAAACTTCTTCTTTCTTACCTGTAATCCTCAACTCAGAAGAGAACTGTAAAATCACGCAGTCGTGACATGCTAGGGCACCGGTGCGATGACCCCAAGCTTTCACCGTGCTTTTTAAGCACACCGTAGAACTTGGCACTGGCAAGTAATGATAAATTCCGTCAGGGCACTCATTCGCCAGAAACGCGAATTTAAATATCCATGGACGAATTGATTGCTGACGAGCGCATACATCCGAGCGACGCAGTTTTCGTGTCCAATGCGGTAGTTGGGGTCGGCTGACGTCATTTTGGCCTTTGTAGGCATTGTAAAGAGGATATTTAGAACCATACACACATGATGATAACGTCATAGCACACTGACATTAAGGAGCACAAAACGGGCCCAGCTCCAGAAAATAAATATTACACTCGGAAGAAATAAATACGTCTGTAACTTGTTAATTACAAAGAACCTCTGAGCATCTAAATTTAATAGTATGTGTTGATGCATTGTGATATAGCAGGACATTTTATATACGTCACTTGAGAAAACGCCAGCTTTTCACTTGAAATACAAACCAAAAAACACTGCGATCAAATGCAAGCTATTGTAACGAAAGCAAGCTATATCGAAACCTTCAGAAATGCCAATTCGTAGAATTGGCGATTAGTAAAAAAGGTTAAAGATTGCAGGAGCTTCTTCGCTAAAAAATGCTGTGATTATACGGTGACCCAGGGCTGAAACAATTTCCCCTAGGCCCTACACGCGTTGTATACCTTTCGTTATGATTCTCAGAAATTCAGACTTTCAAAGGAAGCTAGAAAAATGCGAAAATTTTATCCTAAAAGCTATATGGAGCGCAAGTTCGTCTGCTTCTTTTTGCAGGGGTTGTGGTAACGTCAGAACGCCGTGATCTGAGTGGCTCCGATTGAAAGAGAGTGGGTAGACCTAAAAGCAAGCTGCCTTGGGGTCTACCCACTATTCTTTTTTCAGAACCAATCAGAGCTCGGCATTCTGACGTTACCACAACCCGTACTAAAAAAAGCAGAGGAACTTGCGTTGCGCATATCGTAAAATCGTTGATCAGTATACTTGGGAGTTGTGTGGATATTTATACAACGTGTACTTGGTCAGCCATTTCAAAGTTGCGACGAGTCACTGTAAATGAGCAATTTAGCCAATGTAGTATAACCGCTAGCTCTATAGGTCT